TTCACATCATAATGTACCCCTCAATTGAGGTCCTTCCTCACCTATTCAGTGCAGATATGCTCAGAGCACTGTTCAGGTCTGGCACACCAAGCACATTTCTGGGAACTTCAAGTGACAAACTTCCCCTACAATTCTCTCTCAGACATAGGCTTGCTCACCTGAGCTCTTAGAAACTCAACTCCTCCCCCACATCCCATCCTCAAGCCTCATTAACTGCTGCCAGGAAGACAATTAGAGGACTATGTCATACAGAGCAGCAGTAATGAGGAAAACAATTGCTGCAACTTAGACTGTCATACTAAACACCTGCACAGCTGGAAGTGTGGTTTGGTTTTAGAATCTGCAACTACCTAGACATTTCTTTGATGCTGTCATTCGCCACAGTGTGGATGACAAGGTCAGGAACTCCTGAAGGGACTGGGGAATAAAGAGCTGGCCAGAAGGCTTCAAGTTACAGCTCAGAAACAAAGCACAAAAAGGCAAAAGGTAGCTTTTGGTTTACTTAATCTTTTATCATCTCTTTCAGGTAACACATCTGTGAGATTCATAGAGGACAGGAAAGTTCGTTTGTGAGTTATCGAAGACACCAGGAAAGACTGACAAATCAGAGCTCCTTGCCACTCTCTCCTTTTACAGGCCACAGAGGAAGCTGAAAAGTGGAGATGACATTTTCAACAGCAGAATATGTCATCTGTTTTGCTGGGTCCTGCACAAGTAACATCCCAAACTTCAGGGCCCAGCAAAGTACTTTAAAGCCTCCATAAAGCATCACAAGGCAACTTGAATGCCCTAGTGTCAAGTTTTTAACTAACGCCACTAAAACTTTACAATTGAACTAAACAAACTTGCTGTGAATGATTTTACTCAACCCACAATCTGTGAAGGAAAGCAATGTCCTGTAGTCCCTAGTGCACGCCAGAAAAACAATCCTATAGAAATGCATGAGGCTCTTTATTGTGGTATAGAGCACTCTTTTAAAAAAATTCTTCCTTCCTATCTCTAACACTGCTTATGCAGCAGCTCTCAAACTACACTGTGATCCTGGGTACAAACAAATGAATTGACACCAGCTGGATGGCGAGCAGAATATGTGGGTCATGGAGGGAAAGGCATGAGGTAGCCGTGCTCCATTCTGGTCCCAACATGATACTGCCCTGGATTGCTCCCCTGCCAGAGAGCCTCCCATGCACAAACAGCCCTCCCTCCCTCCTCTCACATAACACAGGGCTGAGATACACTGTAATAGCAATCAGCAGCCACAATTAAGTACTAGAATTGTGATGGGTTATCACAACAAAGGGACAAACATGTTTGAAATTAGTGGCACATGAATTGTGCTGTATTGGTTTCTGCTGGACATAAATAGTAAAAGGACGTGTCCAACACTATAGGTATTTCTGTAGCATACAAATACCCAAACACAGCATTAAGAAAGCTACCCAGGAACAAGGAGAGCTGTAGACACAGATTGAAATACTTTTTCAGCAGTCATACTATTACCAGGTCTTGAGGGTGAGGTCTGCTATCGCAGCACCCCACTACAGATTGCAGTGTCGTCATACTCCACAAAGAAATCAAGAAAGAAAAAGAAACAACATTCCTAGTTCACATAGTTACATGCTAGCATTGAAAGTGTTTCCATCAACAGCTTCTGACTGACAGCCAAAAATAACATTACACTTTCTTTACAAAAGTCTCACATCCAATAGACCAAGCATTAAAATGTCTGGAAACAAACCATTAACGGATTCATCAGTTCCCAGATCCTATTTAATACCTGATTATTATGTATCGTTATAGCCAATTTATAGCACCCATTCAGGCTTCCATATTTCATTCTGAGGGCAAAATGGATTTAAACAGAACAGGTATCCCTGTAACCACAAAGTAACAAATCTTTTTTAATATGTAGAATAGTAAATGTGTAATAAAGACATCTAAAGGAATGTTACTCCAGTGAACAGATTTAAGTGAATTTACTCCCAGAACTACATTTTAGTGATAAAAAAATCATTTAGTCTGTTAAAGAATGACTGATAGCATTATGAAGAACAGTGTCTGCAAGCTATTTAAAGTTTAGGCAAAGGAAAAACTTCATTTTCTGTAACTATACTGACTTTATAACTACTAGGGATTATTTGTGCATAGGAATTCTCTGTCAAAGAATGCATTGTGATGGGTGCCATATAGACACAGAACAAAAAGACTACTCTTTGCCTTATGCTAAATAACAAGTTGCAGATGTGATTAATACAGTTTATAAAAGATAGAAACTTGAAACAGAAACCAGGATTTTGAGAACTCCTGCATTAAAATATTTTAGTATCTGAATACTCAGTACATTTTAATATGCAAAATGAAAATTCATGTGTCATTATAAATTAAATGAAAAGAAGCAATGAGAAAGTTTGCATGATAGTCTAGAAACAACCAACCTTGAGTTCTAGCCTTTGCCTGCAGCTTTTCAATTTTTGGCACTCTTAAAAAGCCAAGTTTCATATTTTTGGCTGGAATTGAGATTGTACACATTACAGTACTTCAATCTAGTTGAACTGAATTTTCTGCAAGAAGTCTTCTGCCTTAAAACACCTAAGAGATCCTAGGAGCTGTGGCAACATGGGTACCTGTCAGAGTCCATCGCAGAGTGTGTGTACAGAGAGGGTGACAGGTTTATGCGATGACAGTATAGGAAGCAGTATAAGAAGCTGGAAAAGAGCAGGCCTTTAACCCCACTGAGAGCTTTAGTCCTTTCAGTGTCTATCAAGGTGTCTTTAAGCCTTCACATATTTGGTATTTGCCTCAGAGTCATTCCACTTGGACGATTTTGTTCTAGGCTATAAAGCAAGTTCTCAGACTTTTCTCATCAGACCTTTCACAGAGAATATCCAGCCACTTCTCCTTCCCATTTATAAAATGTAAAAATCCATCTTGAAATGCTTTTGCTGACCTCAGCTGTGGAAGCACAGTAGAAGGAACAAATGGCCTATTGCCTTTGGGATCAAACACCCCAAGACTGGTCTCTGCCTCCCTCCATATCCCATTTGTTACACCACCACGAGTTGAGTCAATGGAATTACCTAACAGTCTCTCCCTGCACTACTCCCTGAGTTTCCACTCTCACCTTCATAGAAGCATTTCTGTTTCAGCATCAGATTAGTTTCTGCCATGTGCAGGAGGTTGCCCACATTTTTGATCCTACCCTCCTCTCCAAACTACATTCTCCACCAAACAGCTGGCCCACACTGACTATATTTTTCCTGTTTATCACACCTTATCTGACAGTTACAGAGGGGAGATTACATCCCAGCCAGTTCAGTCTTTGGCCTCTATTCCACAACTGCTACAAAATGCTCATTTTAACTTAGGTCTATAGGAGACCCTACTAAGTCCACTACATAATTGCCAATAGGCAGCCAAATGCTACTGTGGCAGAAACAAATATGTCATTGACTGCACAATGAAATACATCACCAAGGTGGACTTCCAAGTGATTTCAATGTCCAGTGAACTCTACAAGAATAAAACAAAAGGGTCCTATGGTCTGAATAACAGTATCATTACCAAATTGTCATTTAATAGTAATACTTAGCACTTGTATATTGCTTTTTATTTCTAGAGAGTATAATAGCAATTTATTTAAGTATTAAATGCTAAGAATGACTAATGTTATGGAATAAAAAAAAATCAATTAATATATCCACAACTAAAGCAACACTAAGCAATGAAAGGTTAACCTTAGCTTACTTAAATGCAGCAACTCATCTTACAATATGCCAGTATCTACTAAAATCTGTTCCATTCACAGCAGTACAACAAATCAGAACTGTATTACCCAAGCACAATTCTAAATGAAATTATGGACAGAGCATTTTTTAAATCAATTAGATTTGAGTTAAAGGCAAAATATATTGAAACCCTGTAAATTATTTTCCACATTTCCCTTTTATATTAAGAACAGCAGCCTTGCTTTGTGTGGGATTTTTTATTTTATTCAACACTTTCTGGTGTGTTCTTTTGGAAAAAAAATTCCACAGACAAATAAGAAGTTAAGAGTCCAAAATATGCTAGCGTACTGTGGCTAAACAACTAGGTTAGTTTTCTGGCTAGGCAACTCTTCAAGAATCATTTTCTCTATTCTGTGAAAGAGTTATTTATCACAAAAGTCCATGCAGCTAGAGGATAATGTAAGATAATGTGCCAAAAAGATAGGTAGCATCAAATCAAAGAGTGGCTCTCAGAGTTTGTACCATTCTCAAACCATTCCTATCTGGAGTGCTATAACAGGAGGAGTAAATTACCAGCCGCTGAAATTTAGGCTGCTAGCTTTTTCTCTTTATCTTCCTCCCCGAATTTTCAAAGTCTGCACGGTTTTAAGTATATATTATATACAAACAAGAACAGATGCTACGGCATCTTGTTTGTGGGAGTTGCCTTCAAGCCATATCATGTAGCTTTTGGTATTTCTATTGGAGCCAAGCAAGCCGGGGAGGGAGCGGAGCTGAGCGACAATGGGAATATCCGGCTCTGCCTCCCGCTGGAAAAAGCAGCAACAACAGAAGGGAAAGGGAAGATTCCTTGACACTGGATGACAATTGTCCTATTTTGGGGAGCTCAGGAAGAGGGAAGTCACCCTAACAGCTCCACTGGGTGGCTTTTCCAAGAAAACTTCCCAAGCTCTTCAGAGAGACAGCGAGAGGCGTCTTGCCAAGCTCCCCAGCGCCTGCGGTCCCTCCCTCAGCCCCGGCTAAGCCGCCTCACTGCGGCGATCCCGTCCCGGCTGACGGGGCCGGCGGCACCGGTCGCCCCTCGCAGCCGCCCCGGCACTGCCCCTCCGCCCCGGCACTGCCCCTCGGCCCCGGCACTGCCCCTCCGCCCCGGCACTGCCCCTCACCCCGGCACTGCCCCTCCGCCCCGGCACTGCCCCTCCGCCCCGGCACTGCCCCTCCGCCGCGGCGGCCGTGCCGACACTTGCCCGCGCCCCCCCGGCCGCCCCGCCGCACCTTTTGCTCAGAGGCCGGACCCGCACGGCCACCTTGACGTTGGCCATGGCTCCGCTCACGCCCCGCAGCCGCGGCCACCCGCGCCCCGGCCCCGCATCCCGCCCGGGATGGGGAGGAGCGGGGAGGAGCGGAGCCGCCCGTCCCGCCCCGGAGGGGAGAGCCCGGCCCAGGCAGCCCCCGCAGAGCGGGTGGAAGGGAAACTTCCGCGAGTGGAGAGGAGGCGTTTCGAGAAAACTCTGCCCGGAGCAGCCGCACGGCAGCCTCTCCAGCATCCAAACCGCGTTTGTCCCCTGAAACAGGTCTGCCCGGGAGAGTGGGCCCCCAGAGTAAGAGACGGTGATTTCACTCTCTGTATCCCCACACTATGCTCTCCCAGAGATTCTCATTTGCAGCAGCAAAACAACGCAGGCTTTACCTCAGAGTTCAATACCGACAGTCTGATTAGACGGGTGCTGCCTAGGGACCAACACTATAAGCACTCCACATTAATTTGACAGGAATTCAGGCAAGGTAAGTATCCCTTCCATATGAGTGCTCAAGGAAAGGTCTCAAGTGCTTTAGATTCCTTTAAGAACCTCCAATATTCACGTGGGTCATACTTATGGTCTAAAAGAAAATTCTGAAACTTCCAAAGAACTATAATTGAAATCAATGACAAACTGTTGCATTGATAAAGGCTTGTGCCTAGACTGATATAAGAACCACAGAAAGATTTTTAAAACATTCTTATTAGAATATTGTCCCTGATGTTATCGTGAAGACGCAATATCAAGTATCGCAGGCATAAAGAAGACACCAGTCTTGATAGGCAATTCCTGTTTAGTTTTGAAAATTCCATTTGCCAATTCTGCTACTCATTTTTAAATTGACTTTTTCTGGTTTTGCATTTCAAATTATGATAAACTGAGCTGTATCTGAATATCATGTAAGAGTGTTTTACAGTCCTCTATTGTTTTTACATTTAAACAATTTGTTTGAATTGCGTTTCAACTGTACTATTTTTTGGGGGACTTTAAGTATAGTTCTTTTCATGAAACAATTTGCCTTAAGCTCCAGAAATGTGAAATCTAAATGAAAAAGGTATCACAATTCAGAAACCTTCCAGAGTTAGTATGGGATAGATCCTTTGGACCCAACACTTCATTCATGATTCACCACAGAGATGCTAAGATGAATATCTACAAGCTGTGAATCACTGTATACTCCAATAGATTTATCCCTTTAAATCATATGAAAGAATTAATTGTTACATCAATGGCAAATGGCAATTAGCTAAACTCTACCAACTCCACAATCAACTCTTCAGTAACAGATACAGCAAAAGAAGAAAATATACTTAACTCTTTGATATGGCAAAAACATGTATTTCAAGGAATTATAGGGAACAAACTAACTAAAAATGTTTTCATTGTACTTTAAAATTATTAAATTACAACAGCTTTAATTTGCCTGACCCAAATCATCACTGTAAGACAATGAGAGAGGCTAAGCCTGTGATAGAGGTACAGGACACTGATTTACAGAAAAAGAGAAAAGATCTCTGAGATCATCGAGTCCAACCTATGACCATCTCCCATCCAGAAGTCCAGAAGTCTGGGTTCTGTTTCTTCCCACTTCACAGAATGTACAAAGCATTTGCAGTAAAAATGTCAACTCCTCTGCAGTTGTGTGAAAGACTTTCATTTCCACCTGAAACAACACTGACATGGGAATTTGTACTCAAATTCTGCAATGATGTATATAGCAAGTGTTCACACAAAGACCCCACTAAAGCCTGTGGAGACTCAAACACCAGTTTATATTCTCAGATTCTATCTAGTGACATTCTGCTTGACCTAATCAAAATTGTTTCTATCCTCTTAACTTTTCTCAAAAGCAGCAGAGAGGAATGTCAGTTATACTTACATAGCATGCTAGAGAATTGTTAAGTTGGATGCCTTGTCATCACACCCAGCAGAATGATGCAGTCCACAAAGATCAAAATGGGATTTTCAGAAAATTTCAAATATTAAATAGACAAGTAAGTCACAGTAGAGTGTGCTCAACAAAGAGCCAAAGATTTCTTCCTCAATCCTACTTTTAAACGCAATAATCAGATAAACTTGTGAAATTTGTGGTACTGAGCCACCTAGTGATTACTTTCATCCACACCACTTCCAGTCTGCTCTGTATCCCGAATACAAAACTGCACATGCCTCCATAGACAACCAACTATCCTGGTTTATAAATGTCCTGCCAGCGACATTTTGTCAACCAGTCTTTTATTGATCTAGAAGTCACAAAGGTTACAAACTGGAACAAACAATGCTTTTGATAAACTGTTGGTCTTAGCCATGGAACAAAAGTTTTATTCTAAGGGGGACACTGACATTGGGGCAGGCAACAGAAAAAGAGGATCTGAAGAGTATATTTACCACTACCATTGAAGTATGGTTTGCAAATCAGTAGATCTGCCTTATATCAAGTCCATTCCTGCTTTAACAAAACCCCATACCAGTAAAAATAAATTGCAACTTTAAATACATTTCATGGTTGGAACTCCTGTGGAAGCATAAGCTTTGGTCTGTAATTTTAATTTATAGTATTTTGTAACAAAATAAAAAGCCAGAAACTGAGTTCTTGAAACCTAGTGCTTTTATTAAAGTTTAAAGTGGCATACAAAATACGTTTTATCAAGATTCTTACAAAAATTAATAAAGACACTAGACGAAATGCATAAGAAATTATCAAAACAAATTTCCACTGAAAATACAGCCTCCAAGGGAATCCTATCCACCTATTCCAAAAAAGCAATTCCTTCTCAATAGCCTGTGTTCCTGTGAGCTACTGCTCACTGTCCTTTTTTTTTCTGTTAATAGTTGGAGAACTGTTACTTAATAACAGAAATACGACTATCTACAAAGTCTCTGCTGGATTACAACACAACTGTGTTGCAGTTTTCACAGAAGACCATAAGAAGGTAGTTCTTTGAATAGCCAACCTATTTGAGGAAAATGATTTGTTAGGTTAAATACAAGCCAAAGTCCAATTCAACACGATTGTGTAAGCTGTCAGAATACACTTCTTTTTGCAGTTGTCTCCATTTCAGTATTTGCTTTGTCAGCTCCTCCAATTCCATCACGAACACCTCTGTTTTTGTCAAAGCGGTGTCCTAAAGCAGAAAAGGGTTGGATTTAATCTCCATACATCCTGTCAATCCAGCAGGACATAAAAATAACCTAAACAACTAAACAGCATTGCATTCTTAATGCTGGAGAAGACGGCAGGCTCAGTTCTTTTGCTACTCACCATATTCTTCACCATATTCGGTACCTGAGGGATGCTTCTTACAGACTGCAAATGGCTTTCAAGCTTCTCAGTGAAAGTCACAGCCTCAGTCAACAACTCTACTATACACCTGTAACCAAGAATGAGCCCTCTACTCAAAACTTGTGCTAAACAATGAGAATTTATTACTTACAAGTTCTTATTTCTTTGCCCTTTTCCTCTTCTCCAATTTTATGCAAGTTCCCACCATCTAATTAATTTTTCTGCAGTTACACTTATTTTATGACTCTCAGCAACAAGTAGGGCAGGAATTACAGAAGTAATATCCACTTCTTCAGTAACTGGGTTAGATTTTTAGACCATAAGAAGAAGGACTACATTTTTAAAACATGCACTATGCATGTCTGGGAATCATTCACATTTACTCTGAGCAAGTGACATTGGAAGGAAGATACTCAACACTAAAATAACAATTCCTGCTCTGGAGAAGCTTAATGAATCAAGCATTTAGCACATTTGTTTAAAACAACACATTGCAAATTGTTCTGTAGTGTTCTGAAGACAACACTAATAACTTAATATTCAGAAAAATATGTATTACTACCTTTATGTGAATTTATCAATGAGTAAACTACTAGCTTTTAGCTGAGGTTCTGCTATCATTATTTATTTCTATTCTCAGCAATGGAAAGATGAATAAAAGTACATGATTTTTACTGCCTACTAGTTCAAATTAATTTGGACTCACGCAAATAATTATTTTCTGTGTGCCTACTTGTGGAAAGTAGCATCAATAGGCAGGCTCTCTTGACATCTGGGTGTTATCAACTTCTTTCTGAGAGCCCTCTTCTCTTTCAGTACAGCTTCCAAGTGACTGTTCATATCTTGCAGAATCTCATATTTTTTCCCTATAAAATAAAATTGCAAAGTTGAACCTACTGTCCTGCTAAAGTAAGAGCAACATTTCTTCAAGAGAAAGAGAGAGAAAAAACACCAATCTGTTGCACTGGACGGTTTACACTCAAGAGAGACATTAGTCAGAATGGCATTTGTTGCAGTGTGGATTTAGTATCATCATGCACCTCAAAGTCACAATACCTACTTTTAAGAGATACAGATATGTTAATTGTTTTACATTATCTACAGTTTTAAATAAATTCTATTTGAGATGAAGTCAATTTCTTGAACTATACCATAGTACTGAAGTATTACAATAGATTTCACTATCCTAGCACAACAGTAGCAAGTTAGAATGCTTTTAAGCATCTATAAAATTACAGTGTGAAAAGTGTGAAATAATAAAGAAATGAACACATACACTCCCAAAGTGCTAAATTAAAAATGCAAGTAATTTTAGGGGCATACAGATGCAACAGAAATACACTGAGTTTCTGGAAAAGAAGCAGAGCAGCACATGCAGGCCAAGGGTTATTGATGATCTCAGAACTCATGCTCCACTGACACTGGGGAGCTGAGCACCCCCTCACACTCTTTTGGAGAATCAGTTACACACAGAGCTTCTACTGAGACAGCAGAAAGTGCAAGTTCAAACAGTATGGAAACATTCTTTAGGTGCTAATAAAACCTGTACCACCTCTAACAAGCCATCCAGAGATGACTGCTGCAGTAACTTCTAGAATTGTGATGTACTCAGATGAAACATTAATCTGCTGATTAAGTCATTTAAGGCTCTTAGTTTTTCCTCTAGTATAACTGCACTTACCTAAGTAAAAAAGGTGAGTAATGTCTGCTGTCTCCTTCTCCAACTGCATCATTTCGGTTTTCAGTTTTATCTACAACAATAATAACATCAAATGCACTTTTAACATACTTATCCAGATATTGTTGACTCTCTTGGTGTGGAGGAGGAAGTAGAAAAAGAAAATATGAGAGCATACATGTGAAAGAGAGTGAGCATTTCTGTGAGAGCATATTCCCATGCCCTCTGAAGTGTTTCTACTGCCCATGTTTCCCATGCTCTCTGAAGTGTTTCTACTACTCGGTGGTAATAGTTGGTCAATAGGAAACAACTGTTTAAAAAAACTAACCTAAATAATTTTGTAATTTATTGCTATTTTGTGCTGGAATAGACAGATCCTGTAATTCATTCCTAAAACGCAGAAACTTACGATAGACTCATAGAACAGTTTGAGTTGGGAGGCACCTTGAAGATCATCTAGTTCCAAATGTCTGCCATGGGCAGGGATATCATCCACTAGACCAAGTAGTTCAGAGCCCCATCCAATCTGGCCTTGAACACTGCCAGGGATGGGGCACCCACAACTTCTCTTGGTAACCTATTCCAATGCCTCACTATCCTCACAGTAAAGAACTTCTTCCTAATATTTGCATCTAAATCTCTCCTCTTAGTTTAAAACCATTCTGCCTTGTCCTAGAACTATCCACTCATGTAAAAAGTCACCCTCCCTCTTTTTTCAGCCCCCTTTAAGTACTGGAAGGCTGCTGAACAACCTCAGCCTGTCTTCACAGGAGACGTGCTCCAGCCCTCTGATTATCTTCATGGTCCTTCCTTGGACTGTCTTTCTTACGCTGATAAACCCAGACCTATGCGCAGCATGCGAGGTGGGGTCTCACAAGGACAGAGTAGAAGAGCAGAATCACCTCCCTCAACCTCCTGGGTGCTTTTGATGCAGCCCAGGACGAGGTTGCCTTTCTGGGCTGCGAACACACACTGTTGGCTTATGTCCAGCTCTTCATCCACGAGAACCCCCAAGTCCTTCATTGCAGGGCTGCTCATGATGAACTCATCTCCCAGTCTGTACTCAGGTCTGGGATTGCCCCAACCCAGGTGCAGGACCTTACACTTGGACCTTGTGAACTTGATGTTCCCATAGGCTCACTTCTCAAGCCTGTCCAGGCCCCTCTGGATGATATCCCAACCTCCTGTTGTGTCAACTGCACTGCTCAGCTTTGTGTCACCTGCAAACTTGCTGAGTGTGCACTCGATCTCACTGTCTATGCCATTGATAAAGATATTTAAGAGCACCAATCCCAAGACAAAGCCTTGAGGGACACCACTTGTCACTAGCCTTCACCTGCACATAGACCCATTGACCACAACTCTCTGGCTGTGTTCATCCAGCCAATTCCTTACTCACTGAATAGTCCACCCTTCAAATCCATGTCTCTCCTACTTACATTTCCGACAAAGCAAGTTTCATAGTCCATATAGAGTCTAAAACAACATTATAAAATACAAGCCAACAACCAATTCAAGCAGTAGGAAATGACTGAGGTTACCTCTTGGTAACCAACAAAATGCTCTAGTTGCCTATAAAGAAATACATTTCTGGGAATTAAAGTCAGCTAAAAATTCTTATTTACTCTTCAGTTTCTTCAGAAAACTTCAGGTAACACTTCAGTTAAAGGTGCAGCTTTCTGAGTCCTTCTACTTACACTTAAAACTTTTGTTTCATAGTTTTGTTCTTACTGTTACGACAACTCAGTCCACTGAGGAAAAAAGTGCCAATTGTTAAAGAGCTGAACTGTTAAAAAACCTTCAAAACATGAAACACAGCACATAGCAACCTGATACTTCACTGGGCGCTCTGTATCACCTCGAAGAAGTGTTGAGTGTACACTGAAAACAGCAAAGGCTGTACCTCATTGATTTCAGCTTGCATGTTTGCCATTTTTTCCATCTCTGAGAATTTCACAAAGCACGGCGTTTCTCTGCGAGTTAAATCCAATGTCTCCTGTGAAAGGAAAACAGCGGGAAAATACACAGTTGGCACATTCTCAATAATGGCTACCCGATACAGTACGTTTCACCCGAACAACCCACAGGACACGAGCATTATTTTGCGGCACTCTTCCCCCGGCCCCGGGCGGTACCTGGGTCACGGCGCCCGCCGCCAGGCACCGCTCCAGCAGCGCGGCCGCCGCCGAGCGCTGCCCGGGCTCCCAGAGCGGGCGGGGGCCGCTCCGCTCCTCATCGCTGTCCACGTTCAGCTCCAGCTCGGGCTCAGTCTCAGTCTCGGTTTCGGGCTCGGGCTTCGGGTGGGGGCGGGCCTTGGCGGTCGCCCTGGCTCCGGGAGAGCGGCAGCGCCTCTCCTCTCCGCCGGGCTTTCCACTCCGCCGGCGGGATGCTCCCGGCACGGAGGGCCCATGGGCCGCCATGCTGGGCGCGGCAGGAAGGGCGGTGACACGCGTCCGGTTCCGGGCAGCCGGTGGGCGCCGCTCGGGCGGAGGTTCTGGAAGGGCGGAGCGCGGGGCTTGCGGGGGCTCCGCCGCCGCGGAGCGTCTGCGTGCGGAGCCCGGACAGGTGGGTTGGGCCGGGCCGGGCCGGGTTAGGTCGGGTCGGGTCGGGCGGGTCTGCTTTGTTTGCTGTCGGCTGTCCCCGGCTGCCCCCGGCGGGGCTGGGGTCGGGGCCCCAGCAGCTGGGAAGGGGTTGCGGCCGTGGCTGCGGTCGTGGCTGCTGCCGTGGCGCCGGGAGCGCTTCTCTCCTGTCGTGCTGCCCGTGCTGGCTGCTTAAGAGGCGTCCCAGGCTTTATTCCCCATTGCGAACCCGGCACTAATCCTCGGGCCTGTGACCCGTGCGTCCTGGGATTAAACCCTACTAGGGTTACGAAGATGGATGTCGTGTGTCCGCAAATAGGGCCACATCAGAGGAGTCAGTTCTCTATTAAATAGAATAAATGTTTTCAAAAAAGCAAATAAACCCGTAGTGTTGTCGGCAGCCCAGGGCTGGTGGGTGCCACAGGAATCACGTCCAGTTTTCGCGGAGAATCTCCTTACGTTACAGGGCGCTGAAAGGCGAAATGTGCAGCTCTTCCACTTAGTTCTAACTGTGCTTGTTGCATCGTTTTAATAATCAAACTGCTATAGTGAAGGGCCCTTAAGCTAGGCAAATCCTTTGAGTTCTAAGTTTTAGTTACGAGGGAGATGAAAACGCAGCAGTGAAATGGTTCAGTGTCCTGAAATGCTTCTAGCATTGGAGAGAGTGTACATAAAATGACTTTTTACATTTGCTTTATCACAGAGACTTTGGATTGCAGTTCTCTAGCACAAAGTAACAGAGAAACTGGCTGAGACTGTCACTCAAATGCCCTGTACTTGACAGAGAATTGCTAGGATGGGAAACAGTGCATTAAAAGCCCACCTGGAGACAGCACAGAAAACTGGTGTGTTCCAGCTGACTGGAAAGGGACTTACTGAGGTAATGTAACAGTAGGCGAAACATGGCTGTTTGTGTGCATGACTGACACTTTCAGAGAGAAATTCCCCCCTCATTGTCATAACGCACTGCATACATGTATTTCTCACAGATGGTAATGGAAAATATTTCAACATTTATTTTCTTTTTTCCTGTTTGCCTGCATTGTCTTCTGACTGAGGATTTATCTGTCAGGGCACTTGTATGCTTATGACCTTATGCTTTAAAGTGCGTATATGTTCAAGAAGTATTAGTTATGGTGTGCTTTTTTAAAAAAAGGCTATAAGCTTGATGGGGGAAATACACATTTTGTAATCATGTTGTTACTTAGAAAGATACTTCACAATTTGTTATATTTAGATACTTAGACTGTATATTATTGTAGTCCTATGAATAGTCTGTTCATTGGGCTGTAAGCATCCTGAGAGTTTATTATGTTGGAAATTGTCTTGACTTAGACTCAAGTGCAGAAAAACACAATGTTTTGGAACCGTAAGTCAAGCAGCAGGTCACAGGATAGCCAAAATAACAATACTGCCGTAATTTTCCAAGACTTCTCTAAAGTGTCTTCTTCCATTGTCCTACCTTCTCTCTTTTTCTCTGTCAAACCAAAGGAGAATCAAACCCACTTGCTTATTCACCAGAACTCCTTGATAGTGATTGTCAGGTTTTTCTTTTTTTCAAGACTCAGTTCCAAAGTGATACAGGATGTAAATAGAGTAAGAAAAATGCTATACATAATTATTGAAAAAGGAAAGCAAGTGAAAAATTTCCCAATCTTACTCTGCTAAAATATATCATCGTTAACTGGCTGTAGGGTATTTTAAATGACAGGCGTGTTTAAGAGAAGCACACAAGAGGACTCAAATATAAACCAGTTTCCTTCTCCCTGTTTAATTTTAATACTTTGGATGAAAAACTACTCTTCGTAGATATTAGTGTTTTCTTTATATCTTTTTTCATTTCCCCAGATGAAAAAATATTTTTAAAAATATGCATTAAGCAAATTTACCAATTACACTGTGGTGATTGGGCATGGCGATGCCTACAACAGTGATCCAAATTCCAGTTAAAATTTTAAGCTGTATAACCTGAACGTTCAAAATTGTATCAACTATTTAAATGCTGTATCTTTTTTCTCCCCCATAGTTTCCTGAAGATCTGCAGAAGCTAACAAGCAACTTAAGGACAATAGATTTGTCGAACAACAAAATAGAGCTCTTGCCACCTCTCATTGGAAAATTTTCCTTTTTGAAGAGCCTCGCTCTAAACAACAACAAACTGAGTATGCCTGCTAATTAATATCTCTAAAGATTTTCAAAATAATGACCTGTATTCTCTGATCAGAAACTAAATTTATTAAATTTAACTCTCACAGGATGTAAACAGGGAGGTTAGTCACTTAAACTGAAATCTTTGGAATTCATGTACAGCATAAAAACCCCAAAACCATAAACTCTACAAAACTAGTTGCCAGCTTAGTTGCATTATGTTTTACAATGACCACGACTACTTAAAACCATGTTTTTGTTCTGTGACTTGTCTGACCTAGGGTTTAACAATGTCAGATGGTTTAGTACTTGCATAGAGAACAGGTAATGAAGATGATGATGATGATGTAGACAGTGTTACTGCTTCTGTTTTACAAACATCCAACTTTATGGAAAAATTAGAATGAGGTGAAGAAACTAGGTTTTAATGCATTAATTATGTAGTATCTGCCTTTTTGAAAAAAACAAATGTAATTTACAAACCTTTGACTCCATAGTGTAACTGACTCTATAGAGCAGCTCAGGAGTGCTAGAGGTTATACACCTGTGTCGGCGGAATGAGGGATGAATGGAAAATGGGGAGGAAGTCTGTGAGAAATTACTTAATATAGTACTGTTCTCCATGCAGAAGCTTATTTGAATTAAAGGGGTATGAATGTTTACTGCTCTTAATTCAGGTCATGTGTTTGTTCTGTCATTTATTTCTAGATGCTTTACCTGAGGAGCTGTGTAAACTGAAAAAACTGGAAACACTACACTTGAATGGCAATCACTTGAGGCAGTTACCGGCTGCATTTGGACAACTTTCAGCTCTCAAAACTCTGAGCCTTTCTGGAAACCAGCTTCGAACTGTGCCCACACAACTCTGTGGTCTTCGCCACTTGGATGTGGTAGATCTTTCAAAAAACCAGATCCAAAATGTGCCCGACAGTGTGGGAGAATTGCAGGCTATCGAACTCAATTTGAATCAGAATCAGGTCTGGTAACTGAGATACTATGGGCATCTAGATTTAGAACATGGTATATCTTGGCTGTAGTACGTCCACAGAACATAAGATGAGAGCGGCAAAACTTTATAGCTAAAAGACATCTGGACACAACACAAATGAGGGATCATAACTAGAATTTATGTACCAGTATATCCAAGTGCCTGATTTGATTAACAAATCTTGGATTTAGTCAGGCAGAAAATTATTTGAACAGTTCTTGAGTAGGAATGTGGTAAACAGATGTGTAGATTGCCTGTCACCATGGATGAAAAAAAAATTACTTGGATTTTTGATAATTTGTTTCTTATGCATTGTTGCTATGTAATTAATGTAATTTATATTTACACCATGGTAATTGTTCTGTATAAGTCTGAAACAAGTCACTTTAATGATCATGGATCACTACCATTTTAATCTGATTTCTCTTTTCTGTTTATTTCTACAAGATTTCCCAGATCTCAGTGCAGATCTCCCACTGTCCACGCCTCAAAGTCTTGCGTTTAGAAGAAAACTGTCTAGAACTCAGCATGCTTCCTCAAAGTATCCTTAGTGATTCCCAGATCTCACTGCTTGCAGTAGAAGGCAACCTCTTTGAAATCAAGAAACTCAGAGAACTGGAAGGTTATGACAAGGTCTGTGGTTTTTTTTTGGTTTGGTTTTTGTTTTGTTTTGTTTGTTTGTTTGGTTTTTTTTTTCTGGTTGGTTGGTTGGGTTTTTCTGTTTGCCTTTTTTTAACAACTGAAGTCCTTACCCAGTACCTCCTCAAAGTACTAAGCATTTATGCTGGTGAATAAAAGCATAAAATAGTATATTGGTATCGTCACTGGTACTGGATTCACAGCTTATCTCTAAAAAGAATATCAGGAGTTGTTCAAATATTAACTTTCTCATAGGATTCAGGCTTAATGATTTTCATCAGCATCTCTTGAAGGGTAGCTAATGAAGACAAGTGTGCATCTTCACTTTGATGGGACAAAAATAATGGATGCTTTGTATTTAACATTAGTTCATCTTTAACACTTTAGATTTGACCATTAGTCTGAATTGCAGCAAGTGACATAAATTTTTGGGGAGTTTCTTGTTAATTTGAAATTAAAGCTCTAATGGTTACATCTGGGATATAAAAGTATGCTTTAGATGCAGAATGTTTTTGAGTCTGAGTGCAGCAGCTTAGCTGCTCTTAGCAGTAATGGATCCTCTATTACTTTCTGAATCTTAGATTGTTTTTGTTTTCTTTGTAGTACATGGAACGATTTACAGCTACAAAGAAGAAGTTTGCATGATCATTATTCTGACCCTGTATGTTACTAATAAGAAGAGAGACTAGAAATACCTGCTTCACTGACTTAAACCAAGACTGATGAAGGAAATGATCAGAGTACTCCTCCTCCAGTAGTCTGATACAGCCTGTTAAGGCCGCATTGAATAAACTTGAACTAGAGAATGTAGGTATTGAACTGATGAACATGCCCAGGGGCCAGTTTTGATTTTTGTGCCACAATAGCTTTTAACACAGTACATGTTCTCCTTTGTCAAGGGTTGTTCTTTCACAGAGAAAGGGAATGAGCATTTCAAAGTTGCCAGTTCCCTTTTGTCATGAAGCTGGCTGTTGATTTGTAAGAGGATTATTTCTTCTGGAAACATTTTTCCATGATAGCACATGGAAGTTCTACCACCAAAGCATTGTATGTCTTGCAGTAAGCA